TGCCTTAGTCTGGTTCATCGAATCTGCATTTTTACGTAAATAATAGGGCATAGGAAGCAATCAGATGTGTATTTGTCTCAGGTAAGCAGAGGGATGACTTTGAGCTCCGTCCTTTGTCCTGCACCTGGGAAGATAAGCTATCAGTTTAAACTGCAAGAGTAAAATCTGACAGAACTGTTTTAGGGTAAACATCTTGAGGCCCATAAGGAATTTTGGACAAATGTAGCTTTTTTATCTTTGTAGCTATTTTATTTAGGAATAAAATGGGAGGCGCATTTGCTTCATGCAGTTCCCAGCTTGACTTTTCCCTTTGTCTTAGTGATTTTGGGGTCCCAAGGTGTATTTTCCTTTCACATACCCTAACCAATAATATTCATAAAGAGAAACTATTTGTTAGATTACAAATTACTTGAACTAAAACGTCAATCACTACTTACCATTTTCTTCTAATGTAACTATGGTAACAGCACTAGAATAACTAAGTTTTTTTTTTTTTTTTTTTTTTTAAACAGTCTTGCTCTGTTGCCCAGGCTGGAGTGCAGTAGTGTCATCTCAGCTCACTGCAACCCCAACCTCCCAAGTTCAAGTAGCTAGGACTACAGGCACCCACCACTAAACCCAGCTAATTTTTGCATTTTTAGTAGATACGGGTTTTGAGCATGTTTACCAGGCTGGTCTCAAAATCCTGACCTCAAGTGATCCACCCACTTTGGCCTCCCAAAGTACTGGGATTACAGGTGTGAGCCACTGCACCCGGCCTGAATAACTAAGTTCTTAATCCACTTTTGAGGAGTAATCATGTCCACTATGTAATAGCTTACTAGTATTTATTAATTTATAATATGAACCTGTGTTCCTGCACTGACTTTGTAATGGAGTCCTTCTTGGTTGCATTTGACACTTTCAAGTTGAACTGGGCTTGTGATGGTATTATATTTATGCAAAACAGATATGCTTCTGTTACCTTTTTCTTTTTCTTTTGAAATTAACATTGACTTAGTTTACCATCTTCATAAAAATACTTTGCAACCTTCAGCAATGCAGTTTTAGCTATGATTGAGCTAGAATACAATAATTTGCATAAATTCACTTCTTAGTTTTAGAGTATCTATCGATAAAGAGTTTTAAGTCCCCTTTCTTGGAAAAACTGGGTAACTTTTCTTTTATCACAAGTCTCCTAGCTTGTAATTGGTACATCATTGAACAGAAGATGATTCATGGAAACTTTTAGATTGTGTGAAATCTTATACTGTTAATAAGTTTTTCATTTCATAGGACTTCAAAGTGGGGTTTTGGTTTTTATTGTAAACATTTTATTAAGTTTGTTTGTATCAATAGGATGGGGAACAATTCACTGTCTAACCTATAGACACAGGAAAGCTAAATTCACAGAGAGAGAGTAACTGACTTAATTTGCAGTTTTAAAGAATGGATATATAATAGACACATTTTGGTGTTCTTTCTGTATGAGGAGAAGAGACACTTAAGGCACTATTGTCTTTCTTACAAATACCTTGACAGAACAAAAAGAAATTGGAAAGGTACCTACTACTATTTTCTTCTGATCTTGTTTCTTCCCCCAACCAGTTGATTACAGAAATTAGTTCACTGTCTACCATGTCTTTATGAAGATATTTGTCTCTAGATTGTCTAAGAATGTGTTCAACCTTTATTTTTTTAATTATTATTATTATTATTTTTTTTTTTTTGAGACGGAGTTTCGCTCTTGTTACCCAGGCTGGAGTGCAATGGCGCGATCTCGGCTCACCGCAACCTCCACCTCCTGGGTTCAGGCAATTTTCCTGTCTCAGCCTCCTGAGTAGCTGGGAGTACAGGCATGCACCACCATGGCCAGCTAACTTTTTGTATTTTTAGTAGAGACGGGGTTTCACCTTGTTGACCAGGATGGTCTCGATCTCTCGACCTCGTAATCCACCTGCCTCGGCCTCCCAAAGTGCTGGGATTACAGGCTTGAGCCACCGCGGCCAGCCATGTTCAACCTTTATTAAGAGCAGCGGTGCGTTTTGTTACAGGTTTTAGAAGGCTGTCATTTATACCAAATAGCCCTGTGTCTAGATAATGATGATGATGATGATGATGATGAATATTAGCTTATGTGTGTCTTATATGTCAAGCAGTGTGCTAAATATGACTTATCTTCTAGGATAAGTACTTTATGCCTTTTCTCTTGGGTTGTTTCATTGTTATGGTAATTTACCTGTGAAGAAACTATGGCTCAGAGAGGTTAAGAAATTTACCCAAAGCAGAGTTCTTTTAAAATAGAAGTGTTTATTGTCCCTTGGATTCTGTTTTACTTACAGTGATTATCTCAGAAAGCCAAAAGTGAAATCAGACTCATTCTTAGTTGGTACAGACTCAGCCTTTATCTTTCCCATCCTGTTGCTAAAGACACCCATTTAAGGAGAGTGAGAAGAACAAAACAGTTCAAGGTTCCCTTCCTTACCAAGCACATGAGTAGGAAAATGGCAAAAGACCATTGCCAGACTGAATTACCTTCTGTGTGTATGTGTGTGTGTAACATCATAACATGTAATATGACACATAACATCATCTGCCTTAGTATATATTGTATGCTGCTCTACGACTTAAAAATCATCTTTGATTTCTTTTTTGCCAACATTTCAATCCATCTTTGAGTCCTGAAGGTTCTGTCTCCAGAATGCATCCCTAATTCATCTGCCTGTTTCTGCTTCCACTGTTACACAGGTCATCTTGCCTGAACTATTGCAGTAGCCTTCTGATTTCTTCCCGCTTTTTACAATTGCCTAACTACAGTCTACTCACAGAGTAGCCACAGTAATCTTTCTTAAAGCGTAAAAGAGAACATGTTCCTTTCCTACCTACAACAAACACATCAATAGATTTTCATTGCAGTTTACAGGAAATCCAACTTGCTACGCTCTATCCTTGTTTACTGTGCTTCAAATACACTGGCCTCTCTGGTTTTCATCCTTAACACATTAATATCCATCTTAGGTCTTTCTATCTGTTGTTTCCTTTACCTGGGCTGCTCTGGTCATCAATTTTCTTGTGGCAGACTCCATATCGTTCAGGTTTTACTTCACATGTCCCCGTTTCCATGGAGGTTCTGTCCCTGATCCAGATGCTCCCTACCTTAACACTCTCATATTCCTGTGTTTTATTTTCTTTTTAGTTATCACTCTGTTATGTTAATTTAACTTGTTACTCGCTTGTTTAGTATTTATTTCTACCTCTATCAGAACTTCACTTCTTGAGAGCATGGCCTCCCTTTTGCCTAGAAAAATATAGTAGCACATAGTAGGAGCTCAGTTAGTAGTTACTAAATGAATGTAAATTTCTTTCTTTCTTTTTTTTTTTTTTTTTTTGAGTTGAAGTTTTACTCTGTCACTCAGGCTGGAGTGCAGTGGTGTGATCTTGGCTCACTGCAGCCTCCGCCTCCTGGGTTCAAGTGATTCCCTGCTTCATCCTCTTGAGTAGCTGAGATTACAGACACACACCACCATGCCTGGCTAATTCTTGTATTTTTAATAGAGACAGGGATTTCACCGTATTGGCCAGGCTGGTCTTGAACTCCGACCTCAAGTGATTCCCCGCCCCACCCCGTCTCAGCTCTCCATAGTGCTGGGATTACAGGCGTGAGCCATTGTGGCTGGCCTGAGTTTTCGTTTAACATTATATTGTGAATATTTTACCACCATCTTAAATATTTAGAACAATCATTGTGAACTCTTGATCCACAGTCCAGATCTGGCCTAAAGACACATTTTATTTGGCTTATTACATAGTGCTGTTGTTTCAGGTGTAACTTACAGTCAAGTGCATATATCTTAAGTGTACAACTTGCATTGAACTTGTGTATGCCAGTGTAACCACTTCTCAGATTATTTAGCTACTAATATTTTAAAATTGGGAGACTTCACATAAAAATCCAGAGTTTCAGTATCTCATAAAAACATCAAGGTCAATACAGCCACTTTCCCCTTGATCACAATTTATTGTAGCTGAGAAGCAGCTGTCCACAGTGTTGACACGTGTTCCCCAGGTTGCCTGCAGTCTTCACCCTTCCTCCTCTTCCCTCTGACCTTGAAATCAATTGTCAGTTGCCACTTATAATTTTATTTGAATTGTTTTTCTTATGATGGAGAAATATTTATTTTTTCCATTGTCTCTTTGAAAAAGTGAAAACGTAAATGGAAGCAGAAACGGTGTCTAATACTTAGTCTGTACCATTCATTTGTATTTCTGGTTGTATGTTAGCCACCCTAATTGTACACAGTTATGTTTAAATGCTGCATAAATATGTTGTTTACTTACCCATTGTTCTATGAAAACATACATGTTATTTTTGTTTTTTTGTTATTGTAAAGAACAAATTTTAGATTAATCTTTGTACACATCACTTTATTAGGATGATATTTTAGAAGTGGATTTTTCTGGATCAAAATATATTTTCATTTTTAAAACTTGATACGTGTTGTCAACTTTCTTGCTAGTAGTATAAATTGCTATAATCTGGAGAGAGCGTATGGAAGTATTCATTTCTCTACATCATTGCCAACACTGGAAATTGTAATTTACAAGTTTTGCCAATATAGTTGGTAAAAACAAACAAAAATGGGAATGCTGGCCAAGAAGAAGTTTTTCATCTTATCTACATAAATAATTGTATTTTATTTTAAAGGGTGTAATATGAAATACTACTTAGTACAGTGCTGTACCTTAGATGTATATTGAATCAAATCATGTACCATGTATCTTTTATATAAAGTAATATGAATAGCTCAGTAGAACTTGGGAAGACTTTATTTAATCTTGATCCTTACATATTATTTATGTTTATATATATCCATACACACCATGTTCTATATCTGTGCATGGGAATAAATATTGCAAAATTTTCTGTTTTGAAGCACATACAGCTAATACTTAAGCATTGCATTTATTTTGCCTTTCATATTTTAAATCAGATGCCATTATTCTGTAATTTGCTTTTTAAGGAGATGCCTACATAGAAGAGTGACAGCAGCTGGACTAAATGTTTCACTGCTGAACTAGTTCCTCAGGTATCCTGGCTCTAGAGATTGCTATGGGAGATTGGATGACTGTTACAGATCCAGGTCTGTCTTCAGGTAACTAAGTCTAAATAATTGTAAACTAAAGCAGAAACTCCAGTGGTGAATTTTTCAATGAAAATATAAAATAATTATTGCAGATGTTGAAGATGTGACTAAAGAGAGACAATGGTTATAAAATAACTTTCATGCCTACTGAGAATACCGCTTTAATTGTATCTTTTTGGAAAAATAAGTGTATAGTTTTCATAAAAAGGAAGCTTTGTCCTAGTTTGAAAATACCTTAAAATGTGTATGTGTATATTATATACTATGTCTACGTGTATATATAATTCCAAGTCTTTAGTAATGGAGATTATGTTAGCTTTATGCACATTTTTCTAAATCATTTCTATAAATGTCTTTTATTCTTTCAGAAAGCAAAACTATCTCTCAACATACCTCAGAAACAAAGATGTCTCCATCAAGTTTATACTCACAGCAAGTGCTATGTTCTTCAATACCTTTATCAAAAAATGTGCACAGTTTTTTCAGTGCCTTCTGCACAGAAGATAATATTGAACAGAGTATTTCATATCTTGATCAGGTAACATGTTTCTTTAAAAAATAGCGTAAATCGTGTTATATAATAGAATGTATCAAAGTTATGAGAAAAACATTTGTCAAACACAAGTTTGTTGTTTATGTAGTGCCCCTGAAACTTAGATATCAGATAATTTTGATGATGATCTCATCTAGATGCAAGGCTTTTATGTTTGGAGAAGTTTGGCCTCCTCGTTGTCCCAGGGGCTCCTCCACTGAGAGTCTAGCCATCACTTTATTGATGCAGAAACCCAAGTGCCTTGCTCCATGTCACAGATTCATAGCAGAGACTGAAAGAGCCTCATCCTCTTAACTCTTTGTCCTTTGGGATATTTACCGTTTTCTTAACTATTTCAAGATAGTTTCTGTATTTCTCAGAAAAGATTTCTGTCTTTCGATTTTTTATTTACTGTGTTGTCCAGTAACCAACCTTTTAAAATAACATTTATTTTTAATTTTTAATTGACAAAAATTGTATATATTTGCCATGTACAACGTGATATTTCAGAATATACATTGTGGAATGGTTCAAGTTAATTAATGTGCATACTTCACATACTTATATCATTTTTTGTGGTGAGAATCCACTCTCTCAGCAATTTCAGAAATGTAGTACATCGTTATTAGCTGTGGTCACCATGTGGTACACTAGAGCTATTGAACTTACTCTCCTCTCTAACTGAAAGTTTGTATCCTCTGACCAATATCTCCTCAACTGTAACCAACTTTAAGAAAATATTTTCTCCTACCAGGAATTGACTACTTTTGGTTTTCCTTCATTATATGAAGAATCCAAAGGTAAAGAGACAAAGAGAGAATTAAATATAGTAGCTGTTTTAAATTGTATGAATGAGCTGCTTGTGCTTCAGCGGAAGAACCTTCTAGCTCAGGAAAATGTGGAGACGCAGAATTTGAAGCTGGGAAGTGATATGGACCATCTACAGAGCTGCTACTCAAAACTTAAGGTAGAAATTGCATATCTTCATTTTAATGCCATAATTATATAATGGAATACTATAAATTTTTGCTGACTTCATCAAATATTTCAGGGTTTTCTTTTTAAACAAGTAAGTAAAAGTGAACTTATAATTTGTGCATGTCTGCTTCCTAATACCTGAAGCACATTGAAGGCATTAATTTGTTGAGCTGTTTAATGACTTGCTGAATCTGTAAAAAGTTAGATTAGGAAATATTTATGTTCCAGGAAAATAAGGATTTCCTCACCCCATCAAACCTTGGTTAATCAAGTATATGCTTCATTTAAAAGTCCATAAGAGGCTGCACAAGTTAATTCCAAGAGAAGTATTATTAAGACATCTATGATGCCAAATGAGCTAAGGGTCAATAATTAAAGCAGACTAGATAACTTTTCCTGGAAGCCCTGTGTCTCCAGAAAAGACTATAGAAAAATGCTTTAGTAAACTTGCTTTTCCCTTAAAAAAAAGGAAGTTCTTTTCACAGGACCATTGAACCTACTACCTTTAAAATGTAGAATATTTGATAATGTTTTCTATTTAGATTTATTTCTTTTTCTTTTATGTTTTCATTTTTATTTTAAAAATATTCATTTAAGATGAAGGGAACAGGCATTCAAAATCATGGTGTGGTCAGGACTTATGGTTGTATATTATTAAGGATGTAACATAAGTCAGTGAATCCAAGTCACATTTTTTCCTAAATATACTATTCTATATTGGGTTTTGTTATTTGTGAAAACCAAAGCCTTTGCATTTGCATACTGTCAGATGATCAGCTTCCTTTTAGTTTTCATCTGTTGGTCCGTGCCTTTTTACTTTTCCTTATTTTTCTTTGTGTACATCCACCCCCACCCCATGCCATCTAAGAAAACAAACAAAAAACTCACTCAGAATCTTGAATCTTTGAGCTCTGTGACAGAATAATAGGACCTCTCTATAAAACATTTTTAAATCCCTTAGCAGGAAATGTGCTGTAAAGAAGTGGCATAGAGTTGGCCTATGTGGAAATAGTAGAAACACCTGGGTATTGGTTTAGAGACGTCTTCACTCTTAATGAGCACCTGTCCCTACCAGCCTGTCATTGATAATGCTGTCTTATGTTGTCTTCTTGGCTCATACACAATGATAAAAGTGTGTTTTTTCCTAATAATGTTTTTTAGACTTTTGTGCACCCTATATTCCTAAAGGATAGATGATCTAGCTATGTGTCTTGGCTGACTGGGAAACTGATAGATTGGATGGGGTAGTTGGTACCCCCAGGCTTATGAAAAGGTTATGAGTTACGGATGCTACTTTAATCCAGATTAGAGAGAACTATGGAAGGTCTTATTAAGGATTAGGCTGATCCAGAGTTGTAACCCTTGGCCATGTGTCTTATAAGTAGCTGGCAAATAATTATATAATGATATGTTGGTGATCTGAGGCTATTGAGCCTTTCCTTCAAGGAGTGGTCCCATTTATTAGGACTACCCAGAGCGTAGACTGTTTCTCCAGGATGTCTTCTAATATGGGATTTACTTGGGCCAGAATCTTGTTATTTTGGTTCAGCTGTGGACAGAAGTGTATATTCAGTGGGGAAAGTTGCCAGTTAATCTGGAAATCATATGCTAGATCTAGCATATGATTCATTTAACTTGTTGAACAAAATTTATTGAGTATTTATGTGCTAGGCACTGAGTTTCAGAGACAAGTGAAACCCCAGTCCTTATTAGCGAGGAGATGACAGTCCGGGGGAAGGAGACATACTGAAATATAACTATTTGTTTCATTAATTGTTCTTGGTGTAGGAGGCAAGGGAAGGTTCACAGAGGGGTAACACTTGATCTGAGATTGGGAGAATAAGTAGAAATTTGCTAGAGTTTGGACATGGCATTCTAGGCAGAGTATATGACTTGTATAAATGTGTGGCGGCATGAGAGATCATTGCACTTTAGAGGAACCACAAATATCTTTGTTGGGGCTGCAATGGGTATGAAGAGCAGTGTAAGGTAGGGCTGGAGCCTCATCTCCAGATGATATAAAAGGAATTGTACAAAAACAAGGAAGCACTGAGGAGTTGTAAACAGGGGGAAGACAATGTGTAAATATGCATGGGGTGGAGAAATTACAGGGGGATTGCAGATTTGTATTTGGGATGGAGTTCAGGGACTCAGGAAGCCTGGTGATGAGGATGCCCGTTAGCAAGCCTTTGCTGAGGTTTTGGACTCGTACTACGAGGTTTGGTAGTGTTAATGAGGGTAGTAAGAGTGAGATCTGAAGAACCCTTAGGAGGTAGAATGGGTAGGATTTTACGAAAAATAAGAATTTGGAAATTCAAGACCCAATTCATGTCTCTGCCTTGCTCTGCCTTGAGTTACTGAGGATGGCGATGTGATTCACTAAGAAAGGAAGGAGGAGTGTGTGCAGATGTTCAGGGGTGATGTGCAGATGTTCAGGTAAAGTGTTGATAGTCACTCTGAGTGAATTTCTGATTTCACATATATGCCACATATCAGCTGGCCTAGTGCTGTAAGTTATGCCATGCCATCTGATCTGCCTGGTGGCAAGTTATACACATTCTAAAAAAAGAGTGCCAAAAATTGACAACCTTAGAGTTATCCAAGTTGTGTTCTTACATTTTCTGTATCTTCTTGAGATCTGTTCATATAGAAATTGTGCACATTATTATTTATGGTTGGTTATGACATAACTTGATTGGCTTTTGAATTTTATAAAAATAAGAGTGTGATTTTAAAAATATTTCATGTGGGTGGCCTCATCAAAACTCGGCATGGTTCTTCAGGAAATGCGATAAGCATTTAAAATGAGCATCTTGTCTCATACTAATACTAGTTTTGCTGCAATTCCTGTCTGGGAAGTGCCTTCAGAGACTTTACCAGCTGCAGGAAGAAGTGGTGTCACACAGAAGTCCCATTTCTGTGACTTGAAGTGTTACCACTTTGCTTGTTCACCCATCTTTTTCTTCAGACTTAGCTCCAAGTCACTTTTGCTTCTTTTTCAAAGCCTGGTACACTCTCAAAGGATGATGACGTTGATTTACCTGAGGAGATCTTCAAAAGTATAGTATAGAAGGGTTAAAAAGCATTAAAAATAAACTTTGAAACTATTCAGTGACAGCATCATGGAGTGATGCCCTTTCCAGGGATCTATATATACTATTGTATATATATACACAATTTGATAGCAATTAAAATTTGATATGTAAATTTAATATTATAATTTTATAGTGTGCTTTATACTAATTCCTTTAAATAAACATATCGTGTGCCACTAACATTTGATTTTGGCAAATAAACACTAGGTTGTATAACTTCTTGTTACTGCTCTTTTAAGAATTCAGTTATTCTGTGTCTTTCATTAATTTTAATCAAAATTGCATATAAATGTTTTAGGAACAACTGGAAACCTCCAGGAGGGAAATGATTGGGCTTCAGGAGAGAGACAGACAGTTACAGTGTAAGAACAGGAATTTGCATCAGCTACTAAAGAATGAGAAAGATGAGGTGAGTTGTCAGTTATTGCAGATGAAGTTTAAGTGAATTTTTGTTTTCTTTGTAATATGAGATGACCATAAGAGGCACTTTACTTGAAAAATGAAAGAACCATTTATTCATCTTTCACCAAATAGGTGTGGTGGACCTTTATGTACAGTGTTTAACTGGAAGGTCAAGTACCTTCACCACCACAGCCCTCGCCCCCAGTGGATCCATTTGGCTTAGATACATTGGTTCATAGCTAGTAACAGCCAGTGTCCTGGACTGCCCTTCCTGGACTCATGTTCACTGTCACTTTTTCTTAGGCACAAGAATGCTTTAAATGCGGATTTTTATTTTCTGCTATACCTGTACGTGATACCCAGGGTGCCCCTTCTTGCATGCACTATCTTAGATATTGGCATTGTTCATTTAGTCAAGTGGTTTCTTCATTAAATGGGCACAGAAGCAGTTCACATCAAAAATCTAATTTCCGACACAATATATAATTCTAATTTCTGCTTTAGTGGTGACTTAGCGGAATTCTAATTTTTACTTTAGTGATTACTTGGACCTATAGCTAATGCATGTCAAAATATTATTTTTTAATTTGTGTAGGAAGAAATCATTATGTTTTTATTGCTCTACAATGACCCCGACCATGTATAAATAACTATATAACTGTGTAATATAGTTTCAGTGTTTGATGTGTTGTTTTAATTATAAAGACTTTCGAAGAGTGTATTTCCTTAAAGAGCCCTGGAGTGATTTAGATAGATTTATTTTACCATATTTGTTTATTAGTATATTTAGTAGGTAATTAGTATTTTAACTAAACTGTAAGGTTGCTTATACATGGTTTCTTGAGTTCACAGACAATTTTCGCTTGATCTGTTGATTACACTTAAATGATTTGAATATAGTTTATCTTCAGTAGGGATTAAGTAAATCATGTTCATTTCCAGCCGAGGTTAGGAATGGCTTTATGAAAGAATAGGACATACTCAGGAGCTACTCGAGAAGGTGTAATAGATCTAAACTTCGAACAGCAGTGTCTGACACACAGTAGGTACTCAGCAAATATTTGAGCTGGATTCTGTCTGCTGTTTGGACTTACTCTTATTTGAGAATTGTTTTTAGTTAGAAAAATGAGCCTGTTTACCTGCTTCCATATACTACAGGTTTCATTCACTTTGTCACAGATTAATAAAAAATGTAAGTGATTTTAAGTCAGTAATACAGGGAGTTCACTAAAAATGATAAGATGAATTCTCTTTATCTCAGATGAAACTTTAATCATTTTAATACTTCCATAAGAATATCTGGTTTTAGGCCAGGTGTGATGGCTCACACTTGTAATCCCAGCACTTTGGGAGGCCAGGGCAGATGGATCACAGGTCAGGAGTTCAGGATCAGCCCGGCTGACATGGTGAAACCCTGTCTCTACTAAAAATACAAAAATTAGCCAGGCATGGTGGTGCACACCTCTAGTCCCAGCTACTTGGGAGGCTGAGGCAGAAGAATTGCTTGAATCCAGGAAGCGGAGGTTGCAGTGAGCCAAGATCATACCACTGCACTCCACCCTGGGCAAAAGAGCAAGACTCTGTCTCAAAAAATAAAAATTAAAAAAAAAAAAGAATATCTGATTTTTAAATGATCAAGAGTCTTTATGTAAGGTAAAAGGTGTAGGAGATAATTTAGAAAGTTAGCACTTCCAGGAATTTCAGAATTAAAAAAACTTTATGTGATTCATATAATATTTTTTAAAGTGGTTTCTCATGGTTACAAATAAGGAAGAATCATCCTAGGATTTTAAAACCTATATGGGGAGATGAATGTTAGGACTTTTCTCTTCTGAATTTGTTCATTTTAACTGGAATTATAATAGCAAATGCTTTTTTCAGGTACAAAAATTACAGAATGTCATTGCAAGTCGAGCTACTCAGTATAATCATGATATGAAGAGAAAGGAGCGTGAATATAATAAACTGAAGGAACGTCTACATCAACTTGTTATGAACAAGAAAGATAAAAAAATAGGTAAACAGCTGGCAAAGATCATCTAAGGGAATAAATAAGCTAATACTATGCTTAGAAATAATTGTAAAAGGGTTGCATACAGTAACTCATGAAATGTTATTTTCATGTTTATACAATTGCTTTTTGGTGGTGTTTGTTTATATAAAGAAATTTAGACAACTGATTAATGGAAAATAAGTCATTTTGCTTTGCTTTATTTAGTTGCATGTATTTTTAACATGACTGGTGTAGGATTAATCCATAGAGGAAAACTAAGCCAGAGAACATTCTAATTTTCCATAGCAAAGAACTGATAATACTAAAAATCAGGATCGGTTTCTGAGTATCAAAAGAAGTATTTTAGGGTAAACCTCGTAAAATTGTTCATCAGACCAAGTTCATGCCAGTTTGAGTTCCTTTAAATAAGTTTAGCTGTGCATTTTTGAAACGACTAGTCAAAAGGATGGACTATAGCAGTTATGCATATGTTTCTACTTTTTTCCTAATAGTAGTCTTTTTTTTTTTTTTAACTTTAAGTTCTGGGGTATATGTGCAGATTGTTACATAGGTATACACATGCCATGGTGGTTTGCTGTGTCCATCTCCTACCCCATTACCTATATTAGGTATTTCTTCTCTTGTTATCTCTTCCCAATTCCCCCACCCCCTGCTATCCCTCACCTAGGCCCTTGCCCCAACAGACCCCAGTGTGTGATGTTCCCTTCCCTGTGTCCATGTGTTCTTATTGTTCAACACCCACTTATGAGTGAGAACATGTGGTGTTTGGTTTTCTGTTCTTGTGTCAGTTTGCTGAGAATGGTGGTTTCCAGATTTATCCATGTCCCTGCAAAGGACATGAACTTACCCTTTTTTATGGCTGCATAGTATTCCATGGTGTCTGCGTGCACATTTTCTTTATCCAGTCTATCACTGATGGGCATTTTGGTTGGTTCCAAGTCTTTGCTATTATAAACAGTGCTCTTTTTCAAAACCTTAAACCATTTCATCCAAATATGTGCATAATTTCACATAATGTAGATTAAAAAGTAAAGGAACACAAAAGTAGAACTTTATAATACAGTTTTGCTGGCCTAGTATAAATAAGAGACACAAGAAGTATGTGGATTTATTTATTGAAGAGTGGTTTCCAAGTGACGATAGGCAGTCCTCTAACCTATATTATACCATGACACCCCTAAACTGTCTTACCTTAGATTTGAAAAACAGCTGATGAACATACATTTCAGGCTGTTATGTCATAGACTGCCTGCTATCAGCAAGCAGTTTAGAGTTGACTACATCACTGTCATTCTACAGCAGAGCTGTTGCAGGCATCTGAATACTTTATCTTTTAAATTATTGAAAAATAGAAATCAAGATTCAGTAATATGCAGTTAAGATTGGAAATCTTTAGATATCCTGAGTTAATCTTACTCGTTTGGACAATCACTGGTTTTTAAGGTTAGTTAGCCTCATGTTCATTCATGAAGGGAAAAAAATTAAAAAGCAGGATGAAATGCTGAAAGTATAAAATGTAACATAGAGAAGTTTGTTAAGGATTTAGTTGTGGAAACAGCTCTTACATTATAGGGGTCTTGCTGTTTCCTGGTCCAATTATAAGTGATAGTTTCATAATGATTTTATTAACTCTAAGATTACAATAACTTACTCTTCTTATGCCAAATGCTTTCATGGCCACCTGCAGCAGAAGATATTAGTGCTATCAGGAGCTTTGACTCTTTTGATGAATATGGCGATGTTAACAGGGCATGGCAAACTTTTTCTTTATAGGTCCATATAGTAAATATTTTCAGCTTTGTGGGATCTACAACTTGTTGAATCTGCTTATCTCTGCCATTGTAGTCGGAAAAGTAGCCATTCGCAATATGTAAGCAAGTAGATGTGGCTGTGTTTCCATAAAGCTTTATTTGTAAAATTAGTCAGCCAGCCTGCGGGCTATTATCAGCCAACCTCAATAATAAAATTAATAATGATAAAGTAAATTAAGTACTTACTGTGTGCCAGATACTGTGTTTACCTCTACTGTTAGGTGCTTTAACATTTGTCTTCACTCTTTGGTAGATACTTCGGTTATTCCCAGTGTCCAAGAAGAAACAGGCTTAGCAGTAAAATAACGTGCCAAGATCTCATTGCTTACAAGTGGTGGAATTAGAAACTCAAAAATTAGGCTGTTTGAGCCCAAATCCTAACCTATATACCAGGTTCACTTACACCACTTATGTGTATAGAGTGCATTAGAATTTTAGACACTTAAACACGTACGGTAAGAATTAATTTTGTGTGTTCACTTTTGTAGCTATGGACATTTTGAATTATGTTGGTAGAGCTGATGGAAAAAGAGGCTCCTGGAGGACTGGTAAAACTGAAGCCAGGTAAAGTCCAGTTTAAACTGACAAATGTAGTCAGACTTCCTTCTATACTACATTTTCACACTGACAAATTTCTTTCTCAGGAATGAAGATGAAATGTATAAAATTCTCTTGAATGATTATGAATATCGTCAGAAACAAATCCTAATGGAAAATGCTGAACTTAAGAAGGTTCTTCAGCAGATGAAAAAGGAAATGATTTCTCTTCTTTCTCCCCAAAAGAAGAAACCCAGGGAAAGAGTAGATGATAGTACAGGAACTGTAAGTGGCTCTTTCCTCTCTGATAGAGTCTTCAGATTGCTAATATGAATAACTAAAACACATGATAGGCATTCTCAATGGAGACACTCTTGGTATTTTGAATAGGACACTCACTGCTATGCTACTTTCAGTTACTGTGACAACCAAAAAGACTGTTCCTGTGTTTTCAGACATACCCTGGAAAATGCTGGAGATGATTCTCCAAGGAATTAATACATGTCAAGCACTGTAAGAAGTGCTTTATAAGCATTATCTCATTTTTAAAATATTCTTCATAATACATGAGATTATGTCAAATGTTATAATTTGATGATTTAGATACTACAAATATTCCCATTTTATAGATAAGGAAACTAAGGCACAATACTTAGTAGCCCAGTATCACACATGATAGTGCTACTATTTGAATCCAAGTTTGTCTCACTGCAAAGCTCACCATCATAACCACTATGTCAAATAAACTTTCAGTTGTTTTAGTATTGTGTACTCTACTTTCCAGAGAGTGAAACTTTTGTTAACTTTGGGAACCACATAATCAGTTTATAAATTTATTTGTTGAGTGTCCTTTATGTTCTAGTCTCTGGAAGGGAAAAACTAAAAAGATTTTGACTTTCTCCCTCAAAAAGCTCTTTTTGGGAGAGACAGATGTGAAGAAGTGATTATTACATGTATCAGGTGCTGTAATAGGGTAGTACAATGTGCAGAAAAGAACAGTTACAGCAATCAGTCCATCACAGAGAAAGTGACATTTTCACTGCTTCTTAGAACATAAATATTTTTGAGGTTAAAATGAAATGTGGAGAAAGCATTCCATAGTAAGGCAGTAATATATGCAGAGGTCTGAAAAAAAATCACATAATTAAAATCTGATTAAAATCTGAAAATAATGTTGACAGAAAATGCTGGTTAACAGCAGGGCACCAGAACTTGTTTTTTAAACCTATATTTGAGGATTATTTATTTTGTTGTATCACAAATCAGTCCAGCTGATAAGCCCATCACACCACTTACTTTTTTTCTCCTTAACATTTTTTTATTTTTACTTGAATATTCTTTTACATTCTTCACTTTGAGGTCTCCTTGTCCTCTTATATGTAATTAACCTTTTCTCTCAAACTCTGTCACTTCTAGTCAGTTCTTAACAGTCACTAATACCTCTTCAAGGTTAGCATAGTATCTGTTACTCCTGCAGTGTCTTCAGTTTTTGGTCCAGCCTTTACCTCTTATCACCAGATTTCAGTCAGCATTTCAGTATGTAGTAACTCAGGGGGATCTTCTTCAGATGATTAAACCCTCTTCACTCCCATTACTCAGCCAGTGGGTAGTATCATGTATAATTCTTCAGTTCAAATGTTTAAGTGGACAAACAGCCTCTTAAATATCTTTTTAAAAGATCATTCTTCTAGCTCCATTTCCTCTTTAATTTTTGTAGGGAAAGATTTTTGAAGCATTTTAGCAAGAGAAATGAGATGTAATGTTGGAATGCCTGGGTAGCATCCAGATTTCATTTATTGTTTGACTGACTTACCTGTAACTAAAACATATACCAAAAATTCAGGTTAGGTGAGTTTGTTGTTTTATTTTTTGGTTTTTTAGAGGCAGGGTCTTGATGTGTTGCCCAGGCTGGTCTTGAACTCCTGGGCTTAAACAGTCATTCCACCTTGGCCTTGCAAAGTGTTGGGATTACAGGTGTGAGCCACTGTGCCTGGCCGAATTTTTATTTTTCACTTTGTGGTTACAGAATTCAATCTGAGAAATGTGCGATAATTATTTTACTTTTTCCTTTTTTTTTTTTTTTGAAATGGAGTCTCGCTCTGTCACCAGACTGGAGTGCAGTGGTGTGATCTCAGCTCACTACAACTTCCACCTCCTGAATTCAGGTGATTCTCCTGCCTCAGCCTCCCGAGTAGCTGGGACTATGGGCATGCACCAGCTAATTTTTGTATTTTTAGTAGAGACAGGGTTTCACCATGTTGGTCAGGATGGTGTCGATCTCTTGACCTTGTGATCTGCCTGCCTCGGCCTCCCAAAGTGATGGGATTACAGGCATGAGCCAACACGCCAGCCATTAATTTTTCTAACAACGTATTTGTAGTATTGTGACAGGCTTTAAAATGTGCGGAAGAAAAGTTGTGCTTCATTGGAAGAGTTACTGGAAAGTAGCTCCTGAGGATTCTGGGCTTTTCCTTGTCTGCTTTGCCTCAGAGACCCTGACCTCTGCTGGCCCATTGCTGACTTCAGACTACTGATGGAGTTCTTCAGACTCAGTCACTCCCTCATTCTGCTGATCTCCATGTGGGAACAGTCAAATCAGCCCTTCTTTCTTCTCACCTTCTGTCATGCTTTTTTCCCTAGCAAGATTTTGATTGTTAAATTAGTGAAGCATATCTCTCTACCTTCCTGAATATTAATGACAAATTAGAACTACTTTATTTAGATATGGGTTATTATGACATATACCCATTTTAGTATTGTTTCCTCATGGTCTTTATCCTGCATGATCATACATCAGTAAAGTTTGCTACTTTATGATTTCATGTTTTGGCAGAATTACAAAGAAAAATATCTCCAGTTGTATATAAAAGTAAATGAGGAAAATAGAATTAACAGTTGCTTTTATTAAATACTTGGGAGATTATTTCACAAGTGCATCCCTTTAAGCAGCCTAGGATTAGAAGCAAGTTGCTCTAATGTCAAATCTCAGTTCTGCCTCTTATGCTGCTTCTGTAAGCCTTGTTTTTTCCACATTGTAATGAGTTGAGGATTAAGTAACGTGAAAACATTAGACAGTTGGTGATATCTCCTTCTCAGACAGCTTCATGACTTGTCATTAACTATATTTGGATTCAAATTCAGGTTTGGAGAGATCTGAATTTGGGAGTTTCTATCAGTATTAACTGTTTTTTCTCAAGACATTTATGTTAAATACTGGGTCATATATGCGTAAGATACAGCACAGAAACGATTTTGATGTGGCTCCCTTTAGTAATCAACCTGAAGACTACTGCCTGAACGTCTAAAGCCATTTTAAGATACTAGTCTTTCCTCCTCATCTCTCTCCACTTGTAGGTTATCTCTGATGTTGAAGAAGATGCCGGGGAACTGAGCAGAGAGAGTATGTGGGACCTTTCCTGTGAAACTGTGAGAGAACAGCTTACCAACAGCATCAGAAAACAGTGGAGAATTCTGAAAAGTCATGTAGAAAAACTTGATAACCAAGGTAACCACTGCTTCTATGCATTTAAAATGAGTTGTGGCATTTGTTAAGGTGTTGCTTTTCAGTCACTTAGAAAGCCACATTATAAGCTCAGAACTAAAGTGCTGTACTTCAGTTTGGTGATTTGAAAGCAATATTTTGCATACATTTACTTTTTCATTCTATTCTATTCTATTCTATTCTATTCTATTCTATTCTATTCTATTTTCTGAGACAGAATCTCATTCTGTTACCCAGGCTGGAGTGTCACGGCGTGATCTTGGCTCACTGTAACCTCTGCTTCCCAGGTTCAAGTGATTTCTCCTGCCTCAGCCTCTTGAGCAGTTGGGACTACAGACACACATCACAACCAACTAATTTTTTGGTGTGTTTTAGTAGAGATGGAGTTTCGCTGTGTTGGCCAGTACTGATTGTAGGCATGGGCCACAGAGCACAGCTAAGATTTTGCATACATTTAGATGTGAGGTTTGAGTCTCACTGAGAAAAACACACTTTGGTCTCAGGGTGAATGTTTGAATAGAGGACCTCATGCATCCATCTGCTCTGGATGCAGTATACAATCAAATAAAGAGAACTGAGTTGGGTGGAGGGGGTGAGGGATAAAAGACTATACATTGTGTATAGTGTATACCACTCGGGTGATGGGTGCACCAAAATCTCAAATTACCACTAAAGATCTTATTCATGTAACCAAAGACCACCTGTTCCCCACCAAAAAAGAGAGAAAACTGAGTCTCTTTTACTAACTCAAAAATCAAGAAATATTTATCATGTAAACATAGGAACCTTTTTCTTATTTCCAGATGCTTACAAATTACTGTGTTCCTAATAATTCACTTAAAATTATTTTCAAAATAATAGATGTTCAATGCAAAATCTGGAAGTATATAAAGTAGAATATCCAGGTCTCTATTCCATTACACGTAACACTTAACAGTTTGGTGCATATTTTTCTAGACTTTCCTTTATGGATTTGCAAGATACTTATTTTTTTTTGTTTTAAAAATTGAATATTACCTATATTTTTCTTCAGTGTGCTTTTTTCTCTTAACTGTATTATTTCAGATATTATTCTCTTGCCTTATACATAGCTCTACATTGATGAATGTATTCTTAGTATTTTCTACTTGGTAAAGTTTGAATGCTTTTAAATCAGGAAAATAAAGATTTCTGCTCAGTAAATGAAGCCTATTTAAAGAATAAGTTGTCAAAGTATGAACTCAGTGCCATTGTGTTAAGTAGTAAAGAGCAGTCAGCAGAATTATTATCACAGCACCAAAATGAATGTATGTGAGATTTTGTTCCTTTGAGTCAGTGCCGTCTATTAGTAAATAGCAAGTATGTTTGGACTTCGTATTTGTTGAATTTAATATTTGAGAGCAATATTTGTGGCACTTCATTGATCTTTGAAGCAGTGTCAACAAAAACATAATGATTGATTTTTCTCTTCTCTGAATATGGCCATTTTGTCTTTTTAATTGGAACGTAATCTTGAATAAATATGGATTACAAATTAAGTTGGCAGTTGAGCTCTTGTGTGTAAGCGTATCATTTAGTCTTAAAATTGTACAAGTGTATAATTGATATGAACTCCTGTAGTTGGTTTGCTACTTAAAATTTTTATAATGTTAAAATAATATAAATTTTATTATAGCTTATAAAATTTTAAAAGGCCAAAGAACATAACTACCTTTTAGAAAACCTGTAAGATTCTAGAAAGATAAAATTTCTGAGAGCCTTTGTTTTAAAGACATGTGCAAAACACCATAAACTAAATGGTGGCTATAAAACCTATGTCAACTTACTGATTTTGTGTTAGTTTCAAAGGTACACCTGGAAGGTTTTAATGATGAAGATGTAATCTCACGACAAGACCATGAACAAGAAACTGAAAAACTCGAGTTAGAAATTCAGCAGTGTAAAGAAATGATTAAAACTCAGCAACAGCTTTTACAGGTGAATATGAACTACCTTTTAAAGCTGTTCTCCATGAAAAGTCAGAATTGAGCGGAAAGTTACTAGATTTGTATTCCTTTATTTCATAAGGCCTTGGTATTTGACAGTTTTCTAATCTGTGTTCCCTGCTAACAGATATGTTGTGTACCATTCCTTAAGTCAGGCGTCCCCAAACTGCGGCCCACGGGCCGCATGCGGCCCCCTGAGGCCATTTATCCAGCCCCCCGCTGTACTTCAGGAAGGGTCACCTCTTTCATTGGTGGTCAGTGAGAGGAGCACAGTATGTGGCGGCCCTCCAACGGTCTGAGGGACATTGAACTGGCCCCCTGTGTAAAAAGTTTGGGGACACCTGCCTTAACTAGTCCATACGTTGCTGGTTGGGTAGTAGCTTTTGGGAAATGAGAATTCTCATTTGACTTTTTAATTCTTAATAATTTCTTTTCCTGCCCTAAAGTCTGACCTGCCTTCCCTTGCTTTTATTTCAACTTGTTGGAATGTTGCAGGGTCCCTCGGGAACTCACTGTGTTTTAAATTTTAATAGCAGCAGCTGGCTACTGCATGTGATGATGATACCACTTCACTATTACGAGACTGTTATTTGTTGGAAGAAAAGGAACGCCTCAAAGAAGAATGGTCCCTTTTTAAAGAGCAGAAAAAGAATTTTGAGAGAGAAAGACGAAGCTTTACAGAAGCCGCTATTCGCCTGGGATTGGAGGTATTTTAAACTATTGTAGTGCTTTTGAAAATACTGGGGGTGGGTGGGTCTCAGTAGAATGCTTCTAAGGTCTGCTTTTGTTTCTTGCTATTTACTTTTCTAAAATATTTATTGGTGATCTCATAAATAATTTGAAATGAAAGGGAGGCTGAGCATATAGAATGGTATCATTTCCCCTTACCAGATTTGAGAATTGAATTAAAAAAAAAAAAACACTATAAGCATTTATTCTTTCAGATTGGCTTTCTCCAGCTAAGTGTTTAGTTTCATACAAGAAATCTCTTTTGGGTGTCCCTCATTCATCCACTGTCAGTAGGTGTGGTGTCAGAAGACAGTGCAACCAAGGCTATATTTGCTGTTTAAAAAGGAAGTATAGTAAAAAAAATAAAGTTCTCCTATCCCCAATCCGTCATTGTTATATATACACCACAGCTTGCTTTTTTTACTTAGCAATATGTCTTCTGCATATCCCCCCTTCAAAAATTGTAGCAGTAATGTCTGAACATGGTTAAAAAAAAAGAAGGCAACAAAACTCAACTCATACAAAAAGCTATGAGGTGAGAAAGTATCCTCCTTTCTCATCCGCAGTTTCATTCCTTAGAGGTAACCACTGTTAAAAGTATTTGTTGGTAATTCTTTTAGGAAGTACTGTTTGAACTTTTAATGTATTCAGGTTTTCTTCTTTTATTTTCTTCAATAAATCAGTTCATTGATTCCCTGCTATGTCCTTGTTCCTCCAACCTACAGCCTTCCTCATTCGCATCTCATTTCTTCATGATATTGTTCCTTTTGTTCTTCTGGCTGCCTTTTTTTTTTTTTTCTTTTTCGGCTTTAAGGAAATGATGTAAAGCTTCCATTTCATGTTTGTTCCACTTCAGTTATCAGTTCATCTCTGTAGTGAAAGATGAGGGCATTCTTGTAGTTACTCTCGTTTTACCTCTTTTGCTCCTTTACTTTGCAATTTTTTTTTGTGATACTGTTTTTCATTGTTATTACACTTACGGTTTGTCCTCTCATACAATGCAGATATAAGTACTTTGTCTAAACTTGAAACTTAAAAGTTGGAAAACTGGGAAAGAAAATTGATAACAGAAAATTGTTCTATAACAGAATATGTTTGGACACATAGAAAATATTCTTTATTATTATGTCTTTGCCACCCAGAGAGATACATCACTATCTAGTGAATTCTTTGACTGTCTTTATAGCTTCCTTTGCGATTTCCTGAATCAGATTCAGCTGCCATGTTTCTTATTTTTCATGTTATCATCTTTCTTGGGTTTCTATTTAATTTTCTGTATTACCTTCTTGAGTAATTTTTTTCATAAGTGCATGAGTGATAAGCATTCTGAATTCTGGAATATTCAAAAATATATTCATACTTGATTGGTTTGGCTGGGTATAGAATTTAGATTCCAACTTTTTCTCTCAAAATTTTGAATTACTTCATTTCTCCTGGTATTTAGTTTTACTGATGAGAAGGCTGATTATAATATAACTGTGTTACTTTGTAGAAAATTGTGTTTTGTTTTTTTATCTCCTCTCTGGAAGCTTTAGTATTTTCTATTCTTAAAGTTTGGAAATTTTACCAAGGTATATCTACGGAGTTCCTTTCAACCTAAAGATTCTGCATTTCTTTAATTTAGGGAAATTTTCTTCTTTATTTTTTCCTTCTTTGATTTCGCTGTGTTCTGGAACTCTTGTTAGACACACGTTTGGCCTTCTGAATATATAGCTACAGGTAGACGTTTTTTTTTGTTGTTCTCAATTCTGGGATATTCTCTTACCTTTATCTTAGGGATCACCAAACTGGACTTTAAGGGTCACTTTTATTATTCACTTTAGCCACTGAGTTTTTGTTTTAGAATTTATCTTTAAAATTTTCTAATGCCCTTAATTTTTGCTTTTCTTTATATAACATGATGCTGTTTTATGGATGTTGATTAATACTGTCTAATAATATGTGTTACATTTTTTAAAAAGATTTCTTTCATATCTTAAGTTATCTGTTATCCATAGTTGTCTATTTATCTTGACCTTTTTCCTATATTATACTATTAGTTTTCTTCAAATGTCTGGTGATGCGTCATTCTGTATTAACGTTTATTAATGAAAGACTGAGTGTTGCTTGTTTTAAGTAGCTGATGTGGATTTCCTCAGTTCACAGTGTGAATGTCTGTTTTATCAGTAGCTATCTTCAGGAAACAACATTTGCACCTGCATCATCTCCTACCCATTTTTGAGCCCATATTCCCCACGTTACTCCAAGAGATAATCTTGCTGCTTTTGCGTATCACTCCCAGTTGCCAGGTGCCTTTCCCTGCATGAGAGTCTTTCTCCGTGTGGTCACTGGGGACAGTGGGCATAGTGAGGGATGGGAGGGGAGGCATGCAGGATCTGAGGGGTAATAGGGAATTTAGTTTAGGATTCATCAGCTGTTCAGAAGGGGAAGGTTTGACGTAATTTGCATATGCCCTCTTGCGGTTTGTGGTAGCTACCAGTACTGATAGATAGCTAGAGGATTAGAGAAACGCTTGATGAAGCCATAGGTCCTTTTCTCAAGTGACTAATTTCCAATATAGACTGTTTTTCTGTTGTTTGTAACTTCATAATGTTTTCTGTGTTCAGAAGTTATGTTAATATTCTGTTTAATTTTTTTGCATTGTTCATTTGAACTTGAAGTTTGAATAAAAACAGTGATGGTTGGTTTATTAGGTGAAACAGATGAATTTCTATTGTTTTAGGTTTCTTTTTGAGACAGGGTCTCGCTGTGTCATCCAGGCTGGAGTGCAGTGGCGCTGTCTCGGCTCACTACAGCCTTGATTTCCCAGGCTCTAGCCATCCTCCCTCCTCAGCCTCCTAAGTAGCTGGGACTATAGTCCTGTGCCACCATGCCCAGCTAATGTTTGTATTTTGTGTACAGACAGGGCTTTGCCATGTTGCCCAGGCTGGTCTTGAACTCCTCAGCTCAAGTGCTTCACCAGCCTCAGCCCCTCAAAGTACTAGGATTACAGACGAGAGCCAAAATTTTTTAGGTTAACTCCTTTGACATAAGAAGCATGTACAGATAGCCAGAGAGCAAACACAGATAGCTAGAGCAGTTATGTGAAATGGCAGCTGTGTGGATGTTGAAATATTGATCATATTTTCTTTGATTTGTTATGGTAGAGAAAGGCATTTGAAGAAGAAAGAGCCAGTTGGTTAAAGCAGCAGTTTTTAAATATGACTACCTTTGACCACCAGAACTCAGAAAATGTGAAACTTTTCAGTGCCTTCTCAGGAAGTGAGTACTTTATAAACTTTTTAATTTGAACATGCATATAAATAAAATCATTTACATATTACTAGTACAAAATATTACATATAATTAATACAAAACTTTGGAATCACCAATAACAACTCTCTAATTATAACTAAAAATCAACCTTTTTTTGTTTTGTTTTTGGGAGACTTTATAAACTTTTTAATTTGAACATGCATATAAATAAAATCATTTACATATTACTAATACAAAATACTACATATTATTAATACAAAATTTTGGAATCAACCTTTTTTTTTTTTTTTTGAGACGGAGTTTCGCTCTTGTTACCCAGGCTGGAGTGCAATGGCGCGATCTCGGCTCACCGCAACCTCTGCCTCCTGGGTTCAGGCAATTCTCCTGCCTCAGCCTCCTGAATAGCTGGGATTACAGGCACGCGCCACCATGCCCAGCTAATTTTTTGTATTTTTAGTAGAGACGGGGTTTCACCCTGTTGACCACGTTGGTCTCAATCTCTTGACCTCGTGATCCACCCGCCTCGGCCTCCCAAAGTGCTGGGATTACAGGCTTGAGCCACCGCGCCCGGCCAAAAATCAACCTTTTTTTGTTTTGTTTTTGGGGGATTGAGTCTTGCTCTGTTGCCCAGGCTGGAGTGCAGTGGTGTGATCTTCGCTCACTGCAACCTCTGCCTCCTGGGTTCAAGTGATTCTCCTGCCTCAACCTCCTGAGTAGCTGGGATTACAGGCATGTACCACCACACCCAGCTAATTTTTTAGTAGAGATGGGGTTTCACCATATTGGCTAGGCTGGTCTTGAACTCCTGACCTCAGTTGATCTGCCCATCCCAGCCTCCCAAAGTGCTAGGATTAAAGGTGTGAGCCACCATGCCTGACCCAAAAATCAACTTTAATATTTTATTTACTGTAGTCAAAGTGGGGATGAGAGAGGGACTGTGCATACCCGAAGTAACTTCTGTTGTGAGTTTGTAATAATGTGAAGTTTTTTAAGTTTTTCAAGACAGAGTCTGACTCTGTCACCCAGGCTGGAGTGCATCTCGGCTCACTGCCTCCTCAATGTTCTGGGCTCAGGCTGTCCTCCTTGCCTCAGCCTCCTGAGTAGCTGAGACTGCAGGCACACACCAACATTCCCAGATAATTTTTAAAAATTTTAGAGACGAGGCCTCGTTATGATGCCCAGGCTGGTCTCGAACTCGTGGGCTTAAGCAGTCATCCGACCTCAGCTTCCCAGTGTGCTGGGATTACAGGTGTGAGCCACCCCACCCAGCCTAGAAATACTTTTAAAACTAGATCCTTTTAAATATATGTGGACTATGCAATAAAGATAGAAAGATTAATGATATTCAAATTAATTTGTTCCATCTCTTACCTGACTCAGAACCACAGATGAATCATCCTGGTGATTATTTACCCTCACTATATTTAATGCCTCACCATATATACTGCCTTTTTCCTTCCTTGTTTTAAAACAGGTTCTGATCGGGACAGTCTTACAGTGCACTCGAGGCAACCGCCAAAGAAGCCTCACAGTACGTCTAATGGGTCTCCAGTTTGCATGTCTAAACTTACTAAATCTCTTCCTGCTTCACCTTCCACTTCAGATTTTTGCCAGACACGTTCCTGCATATCTGAACATAGGTATTTGTCTATAGGTGATCTTTTCACATATTTCTAAAAATTGCTGAAGTTGCTCTGCTAAGGAAAAGGTGGCGTGTGTATAGTATTAGCAATAGTAGAGACTTTGGAGAGGAATTAATAGATTTATTCTGGGAATATTTATTGAGTGTCCAGTATATATAGACACTGCTGTATGCTGGGAATAAGATAGTAAACAGGTAGATCTGTTCCTTTTCTTCTTAGAGGTAAATCGTATGTATGCATGTCTTTTTATTTCACATTTAAGATACAACTTAGAATATAGTCTTTTTTTTTTTTTTTTTGAGATGGAGTTTCACTCTTGTTACCCAGGCTGGAGTGCAATGGCGCGATCTCGGCTCACCGCAACCTCTGCCTCCTGGGTTCAGGCAATTCTCCTGCCTCAACCTCCTGAGTAGATGGGATTACAGGCACGTGCCACCATGCCCGGCTAATGTTTTGTGTTTTTAGTAGAGACGGGGTTTCACCATGTTGACCAGGATGGTCTCGATCTCTTGACCTTGTGATCCACCCGCTTTGGCCTCCCAAAGTGCTGGGATTACAGGCTTGAGCCACCGCACCCGGCTTGAATATAGTCTTAATTATAGGAGTTAACATTTTAAGTGCTTTAATTGTATTAAATAGAAGGATGTTGTTTTGACAGTTTGTGCAGAGTACATATCTTACATTTTTTTTCTAGCATGCCCATTTTATTGTTGTTGAAGGGCAAAGAACTGAAAAAACCTATTCATCTTGAGTGATAAAGATCTGTGCCTAAGGATGGCAGTGTGAAAAGACATGGCTCTCCACCGTAGGAAACCCATATATTGCTCTTAATTGCTACATTTTGATATTTTCCTCTATCTCAAGTTATTAAATCATTTTCTGAGATAACATCAATACTCTACTTCAGAGCCAGTTCCAAGTTTAGTTTTAAATGAAGCAGAGGAAGCAGGTACAACATTCCTAGTAAGATAGAGAATAGAAAAGATTAGAGAGATAAGTTGGAAAGTAAGGTGGTAATCTCTTTGCTCTTAATTAAAAACAGGAGACAAGGGCCTTGGAAAGTGCCAGGCAGAGCTGAAACAAACTTGGCCTGTGCTAGAGACTGGAGCGGAACTAAGTGTCAAATAAGCCAGCTGGCCCTTGGGCCAAGAAGTATGAAATAGATTGAGTTTAAAACAAGAAATGAAACTTTTAAAAGGAGGAGGAGAACACCCGATAAGTTACGTTGACTTTTAAGAGGTGAGGGAATTAGGACCCCAAGTAACTGTTGGAGGGAATGAAAAAGAACTAGGTAAGAGCACTCTAGGCAAGTGTAGGTACCCTGAGGTGGGACACACCTCAAACATTTGTGATGGTGAGCGTAGTGAACAAGAACTAGAGGTGTGAGATGAGGATGGAGAGATGTAAAAGTTCAAATATGCACAGATACAGAGAGAATAAGATCATGAACCCATGTGTACCTGTCACTCAGGTTCAGCAGTTATTAACTCATGATCACTGTTGTTCATATGTAATCCCAATCAGCTTGCTCTCCCCACCCCAAACACATCTGGGATTTCATTTACGGAATATTTTAATGTGCATTTGTAGGACAAATATTGTTCTAAGGGGAACAGAAGAAACATTAGTTTTAAGCAAGAAAGTGAAAACAAGTTTTATAAAGAGTACTGTTTTATAATGTTGAAAGGAGATTGTAGGAGTCTGTAATAGAAACCAGAAAATCCAGTTAGGAGGCACTATTGGAGTAGAAAAAAACATGAGGATAATTTGGACTAGGGTCATAATGTGAAGATAGAAATGCTTGGATTTGGGATATATTTTGAAGTTAGAGCCAATAGATAAGCTGGATATAAGAAGTGAAAGTTTATTTTACAGTCAAAAGATAATGTGTAGGCCGGGCGCGGTGGCTCAAGCCTGTAATCCCAGCACTTTGGGAGGCCAAGGCGGGTGGATCACGAGGTCAAGAGATCGAGACCATCCTGGTCAACATGGTGAAACCCCGTCTACTAAAAATACAAAAATTAGCTGGGCATGGTGGCACGTGCCTGTAGTCCCAGCTACTAGGGAGGCTGAGGCAGGAGAATTGCTTGAACCCAGGAGGCGGAGGTTGCGGTGAGCCGAGATCGCGCCATTGCACTCCAGCCTGGGTAACAAGAGTGAAACCCCGTCTCAAAAAAAAAAAAAAAAAAAAAAAAGATAATGTGTAAGCTCCTAGTATTTTCTTACATAGAATGTTATTCAGACTTGCAAATTTGACCAATCAGACCTATCTATATAGATATAGATGCAAATTCTACCACCATTTACAAAGAATGCATTTTATATCTAAGAGATAGCATAATGTAGTTGTCTCAATTGTTTTTATATATTTTAAATATTTAGCTTTTTACATAATTGTTTTTAGTTATGAAATATTTGCATAAATATTTCTTGAAGGTATTGTTTTGTGTTTAATAAAGTTCAGCATTTAGTACCTAAATCATAGTGTTGCAAGTGAAGAGTTAATATATTAGAAGCACTTAAAAACAGTACCTAGTTACATTGTAAACATTTAGTGACAGACTATAAAAATAAAAATATAGGCCATGCATGGTGGCTCACACCTTTAATCCCAGCACTTTGGGAGTCCAAGGCAGGTGGATCACAAGGTCAGGAGTTCAAGACTAGCCTGGCCAACATGATGAAATCCCATCTCTACTAAAAATACAAAATTAGCTGGGTGTGGTGGCGGGCGCCTGTAATCCCAGCTACTCGGGAGGCTGAGGCAGGAGAATCGTTTGAACCCAGGATGGGGAGGTTGCAGTGAGCCAAGATTGCACTATTGCACTCCAGCCTGGGTAGAGACTGTGTCTCAAAAAATAAATAAAAAATAAAAATATATGTAAAAAAATATAAACATGCTTTTCTGTTTCCAAATGCTCCAGTCAGCAACATCAGTGGTATAGAAACAATTTTGGAGCTTAAAGGAATTCAAGCGATTCATTGTTAACTAGCCTCCAAGAATAAAACAAACAGAAAAGAGTTTTATAACTAATGGGGAAGCTGTGATTCCTGACATGGTTCTTTACATTTTAAATTATCTGATAAATTTGGTTCTCTTGTGACTGAAGCATTTTAGATCTTGGTTTATGTTAATAATAATATTACAACAAAATAATTAATATTTGTAGCTGATTTCTACAACATCCTCATTGCTCCTTTACTGTAGAATGGAATTTTACATAAAGACTGTGCCTTAGATTCCGGACAAGGAGACTTGTGCATTAGTTACTTACAAAACTTAGTTTAATCAGTTGTACAGGGATTCTGATGACTTACAGTAATTTAGTCATCAGAATCCATGTACAAATGACCAAACTAGGCATGCACCATTAATCCCAGCTAATTTTTGGTAGAGATAGGGTTCCACCATGTTGTTCATGCTACTCCTGAATTCCTGTTTGGCTGCCTCAGTCTCCCAAAGTGCTAGGATTACAGTTGTGAGTCACTGCTCCCAGCCTTTTTTTTTTTTTTTAAACTAGAATTTTAAACTAGGTTTTTGGTTTAGATTCTTAGAATTAAAAGGAACTTAATATTTTTTTAAAGACTGCCACATTATGAGGTTGAATTAGTAAACAAAAGTCACAAGAAGTGTACATTTAGAAAAGTTTTTAAGAAAATTACATAACATACTCAATTGATGAAAAAATGTATTATTCATTGGTTCAGTTGCATAGATTTCAAAGTTACCATTTTAGCAGATTTATTGTTTTGAGGCTGATTGAAGTGCACTTCTGAAGGCACTCATTAAGTATCCGTCTTGGTGGATGGATGAAAGGATGCTTTAACAAGTGGACATGTAAAGAAAGAAAACATAACGAGATAAATAATAGTGGCAGAAAAATGGAGACATTTGGAATATTAGCTTTCAAAACCCTTAAGCTTCTCTACCTTAAGCTTCAGTTGGACAACATGCATCAAAGTAGACTAAAGGGATAAATAAATAGATGGATAGATAGGATAAAAGTGATACATCATTTTGAAACACTTCAATGTTTTTGATCATGTGTCCTCCAAATTTATGTAAATTAGCACAAGACATGGAAGCAATGAGACCTTAGACATCAGGCATGTATACGGTATAAAAGGAGGAGAGGAGAGTCACTAAGATCTGCCTTTCTTTTTCCAACAGTTCAATCAATGTACTGAATATAACTCCTGAAGATACTAAACCAAATCAAGTTGGAGGAGAATATACAAATCAGAAATGGAGTGTGGCATCAAGACCTGGATCACAGGAAGGTTGCTATAGTAGATGCTCCTTGACCTACACAAATTCTCATGTAGAAAAAGATGACTTACCTTAGACATGTGGACTGGGATTTTTTTCATTAACATATTCATCAAATTTCACATCTAAGTTGAAACAGGGTGTGTCATAAAGTCAGTTATCTCTAGTAACTTAAGATGGTCTAAGTCGTTTGTTTGGACTTCCCTGTCTTCCCCCAAAGAGTTGAAATGTTAAATCTATTTAAAAGGATATAAAAGCTTTGGATATGTATTTTTAGTAACAGAAGCATCAGGTTCTGTGAATAAAGGAATGTATAGATGTTTGGATGGAAACAAAAGCACTAGAATGAGTTTCCTCTTATAGGTATTAAAAATAGCACTTTTAGGAGACTGATTATTGTAAATGTTTAATTTTGTCTCAAATATAATTGGCATTGGAAGTTTAGCCTTTACTTGAATGTATACTGTAGATTTTTAACAAAGCGAGTTCTATATTTATTATGTTTAGTGTAATTTGAAATTACCTCTTTCATATGTTTTAAATAAAGTGAAATTTATGTATGTTTTGTACATAGATATACATGATTATGTTAAGAGACTTTAAGATTTTAAAGTTTCACACAACCATAAGTATAGTATTTCATGCCAGTAAAAAATTTTTTAGTGGTATTCTGTTTACAGATGTATTAGGACCATTGATATCATTACATTTAAGAATTCTTTTTAATACATCTGGGCAATAAATGTTTAAAGCTATTCCATGAAGTCTTTAGATAATCAACACTACTAACATTACATTTTTGAGATTTTTATGACATTAGATTTTTATTTTATATATGTAGGATATTATAATTTTTAAAAGGTCTATTGATAGAGGAATAGGGGTAAGACAACAAAAGTACCGTTGAATAGAACAATTTAAGAAATTGGTTTAAGATATTGGATGATAGAAGATATTTAAGATATCTAGATGGTGATATTTTCCTTACGAGATGGGTGCCAGTATAGTAATATCTGTACTAACTAGGGCTTTGTATTTGTTGTCAATTTTTTAAATAATTTTTTAATGAGGTATTTACCACTAAAGAAATATGATTATGTAAAACCATCCAATTTTATAATTGAGATATTATGATATACTGGAAAAACATGTCATTTCATTTTCAGAAAACTCCTAGGCTCTCTTCAGTCTCTGTAATGTTTCTGATTGCATGTTTCTTCATGAAAAGTATATTGTTGTTTTGATAGTATAATATAAATATAGGCTCAGCTCTTTCCCAGGATTTTCATCAAAAAGCTTTAAGTGCCTAACCCTGCTTGTCTCTGTACATAGAAGCCTGCACAGATCCAGCCAGTCCTTGCTAGATATTGTAGTTTAGGCACATTTACCTTCCCCTTTACTAGTAGTTCAGCCACTTACATGCAGTCACCCTGTTTGTGGCTATTTTAAATTCTTATTATTTCCAAAAAAAAAAACAACTATTTGTGTTATCCATTCACTATATGTAACTATGTAACTCTTTGGAGTTGCCTAGCAGCAGCCATTTTTTCAAGGCTGATAGGATATCATTAAGAGGATCTTATGAGACATTAGTGGATATACTCATAATACAGTAACCATATTTATAGTCTCAAAGAGCTGGCTCTTGAGCATTAGTTACTCACTACCTTTAGCTTGATGCATGGTCACTTCTTTGCTATTTAAAATACTGTACATGGTACAAAATATCAGAGACACTACCATATTCGAAAGGAAGAAATATAGCTGGGATGTGTTTATTTTTTTGCTATTTGGCAGTAACATGGTCAAAGAAAGGCAGGCAGAAATTTTAAATACAGTTAATGAATACATTTGTCAAGAATTTCCCCCAGGGTTTTCCATGGTGTACTTTGTAAGAAATAAGCATTCTGATTTTTAAAGTAAATCTCATTTCACGACAATGGAGGTCATCTGTTTTTTGTTTTGTGTTTCCATTTTAAAGTGGGTTGAATTCTCAAACTGGAAAGAAAAGTTCCTTGAGACTTACTTTAAAATATAAAATGTGAAAGAAACAGCAGAGTGAAAGCCAAACTCATTACACCTTCAATGTCTGCATAGATCCAGAAGTTGTACATTTTACTTAACATCACTTCTGTTGAACATTCCAACTCCAAAATGGTCCCCGGTCACCTTAATCTCAGAATGTTGGAATGATGTCTGTATTTGAAAACTCCAGACTCCACACATAAAACTCCTAGGATTTTGCTTCCTATCTCTTTCTAGGTGTTTGTTGGCAATGTATAAATAATATAGCTGTGCTAACCTCACATTTAGTCATGATAGATGATGGTACTAGAGTGCACTTCATTTGTAAGTTCTGATAAGTGTTTTCTTTATCAGTATGTACATCTGAAATTTTTTGTACTTCATTTGTTTTTACATGGCATATATCCATTCTGAATTTTCAAAGCATAAAAATGTCAAAGAAAAATTGAGATAAACATTTTGTTTACTATTAAATGTTTGCATCTGCAGTCTATAATGAGAAAAAAATTATGACTGAAATTTAACTTAAATAGCATTTTCTTATAGAAGCAATGTATTAAATGATTAGATATGCAGGACAGTTCACAGCAAATTGTTTACCTTGTGGCATAATTGAAATACTGTTATTTGGAAGAGTTTTATATTTCTTACCTTAGCTAACCAGAATTGTTCATAGGCTTGTGATAATATAGTGTTGTGTGAAAACATTTCATGTGCATGATGAATTGAGCACTATGAATCTCATCTTGCCTGCCCCTGGTGGAACATTTGAAAACCCCTAGGACCCCAGGAGAGAGATATTTGCAGCATGTATGCCTGGAACACACTGTGAGTTAGCAAGACCCTGCTGTGATAATGCTGTTGTACAAATCTGCAAGCATATTGCCTAATATAAGTCGTGTTCTTATTTCTAGATTGGATTTAAGTAAGTATGGATTGTGGAAGTCTAGTAAATATACTTTTCCCTGTGTCTGTCCTTTTTCAGTCTTTTGACAGGCATTTATGAAGTACCTTCTGTATGTAAAGGCTTACTACTACTTTCCCATCCTTGAAGATATGAAGACAGATAAGCATGCTGCCTGCTATTGAGAATCTGAACTGAGTGGAAGACCCAGCTACATTGTAATAAACAATGGTGGATGCTATGTCACCACCTCTGACACATTCAGTCTGTTCATAAAACATGGACTGGTGGGTCTGCTCCAGGGCCACCTCCCTTTCGTAACAGTAATGTGGCTAGGATTCCATTTATAAATCTTAGCATTATTTCCTCTATGAAGTGCTATGTAATAGATGATTGTTTTGCTAGATTTTGTTTTCTACAATCAAAATGTTGACTTGCAAAGGATTGTAGGATTTTCTCTCCGTGAGAACATATATTATCACGTAGTAGAAAAAGCATTCTCAAAAATTTGAGATAAGGCCATGCAGATAGGGATAATGAAATCGGTCACTCTAGTCCTTTTTCTAAATATAGTGTTTTTCAAGCTGGATGTAAATTAGAGTGGGTGGATATTGATTAAATTAATTTATATAAAATTGAATGACTGGTTAAGGTTTTTTGAACATTTACAAGTAATGGATTGCTGAGGGCTCAGGAAGTACTGTAATGTCAGTGACATGCAGCTCCTTGATAAAGATCCACCTCAATATTCATATATTAAGCTTCAGAAATACATGTACCTAGTATAATGCTTAACAGCACAATATTTGTTGATGAGAAATATGCTGATGAAACATATTTCTTTACTGGAATGAATGGGCTATAAATTTGGGGTTAGAATTCTTTTTCAAGAGGGTGGGAACCTTGTTATGATTCTTTATGCTTGTGTATTTCCAACCCTATCTCAAATCCTTGCATATAGACTATCATGATAAAGTAGGTTATGCCACAGTTAACAAACATTAAGTCAATGTGGCTTAATACAAAAATTTATGCTCATGAAATGTCCATTGTGGACTAGGCAATCCTCCATTTTTAGCTATGCCATCTGGAACACATGGTCTCCAACACTGCCAAATCAGAGAGAGAGCAGACTAGCAGATGGTGTAGAGTATTTTTAAGAACCAGACCTGAAAGAGACATGCCTTCCACCTACAGCCTCACTGCAAACAAGACTGGAAGGTATAGAACATGTAGCTATTTGGTGAGCACTTACAATCTTCTACTGAATGTAGTTGATGCTAGATATTTCATCCATGCATATTACTCTGCAAGGGGTTTATTGCTGATTATTAAAGCAAAAATTCTTAATTTTTGCAAGGAATGTATTTTAAATCTTCTCTTACACTTTCTAGCCTTTTCATAATACAAGTTTCTGAATGTTCAAATGGTAGTTTTACTCATATAGTTATTAAAGTATCTTACAGTGCACTGAACACTTATTTTTCAACTGACAGAGAATCTTAACCTTTTTTTTAGAGAGTTGATAACAGATTCAGGTGTTAAGTGATGAACCCAAGGTCACATAACTGCTATTAAGTGATAAGACCTTAACCCATATCTGAGGTTTGCTAAGTTTCCACCTTTTCCACACTGCCACAGTGCCCACTTGTAGAGCTTTTTAAGTGAAATTCTTCACCCATTAGCTGCCACCTGTAATCTGCATCAAAAGTGGTGATCCTTTGGTCCGTGTGTAAGACTTGGCCTCATTTTTTTTGATCGGTTACCATGGCCAATCTATTCAGGGTTCTACCACTACCTTTTTGCAATTAAGGCATTAAGAATTTCATTGAAATAGCTAATTTAGTAGTTTATGATACTCTAAAGGCCATTGAGTAATCTGAAGTTATGTCTAGAGCACCTGCAATTTGTATGTGTGTGTGACAGTGTGACTCCAGGCTGGAGTGCAGTGGTGCGATCTTGCCTCACTACTGCCTTGATCTCCCAGGCTCAAGCACTCCTCCCACCTCAGCCTCCCAAAGTAGCTGAGACTACAGATGTGCGTCACCATGCCTGGCTGGTTTTTTTGTATTTTTTGTAGAGATGGGGTCTACCATGTTGGACAGGCTGATCTCAAACTCCCAAGTTCAAATGATCCTCCCCCCTTGGCTTCCCAAAGTGTTGGGATTACAGGTGTGAGCCACCACCTCTGACCAGCTTGTATTTTTTTACCCTGCCTTTTTGTTCACTCTTGGCAGTGTGTGTACCGTGTCCCACTGTGGCTACAATCACAGTGACCAGAAATACTTCATTTTGTCCAAAAGGTTCAGTAAACTTTTGGAGACATTTTATGAAAAATACAGTAGTGGAACATGTGAATATTTTTACTCAATTTTAGAAGGAAAACAGCTGATGTAGGGCAGCTGGATATTTTCCAGATTCCCTGTTGCATCTGCATTTAGATAGATTTTCTTGTTTCTGGTCTGTCACGACAATCTCATTCCTGTTTACAGTGTTCCATTAAAGCAAACCATACCCCAGCTCATGGTGACTCACGTCCGTAATCTCAGCACTGTGGGAGGCCGAAGGGGTGGATCACTTGAGGTCAGGAGTTCAAGACCAGCCTGGCCAACATGGTGAAACCCCGTCTCTACTAAAATTATTTTAAAAAGCAACCAGGTGTGGTGGCACACACCTGTAACCCCAGCTACTCAGGAGGCTGGGGCAGGAGAATTGCCCCAACCCAGGAGACAGAGGTTGCTGTGAGCCAAGATTGTGCAACTGCACTTCAGCCTGGGTGACAAAGTGAGATTCCATCTAAAAAAAAGGAAAAAAGAAAAAAGTAAACGTTTGCATATTCCCTAGAATCCTAAAACTTAACAACTAGAATCTACCCTCTATTCTGGGTTTTTGGATCCGATTCTATTATATATGGTGTCTAAACCAAAGTGGTCAGTTGTTCATTCCCGCCAGGCATGAGGTCAGATAGCTGAGTTCCCTGGGTTTAGACTCTGCTAGTGCTTAGCCATGGCTACTGTGGCTGGTTTTGTTAACCTGTAAGTATAGTTCTTACTTGCCTATGTGCTGTAATTTATTTACCCTACCTTGAGATTTTTTTCTTCTGTAATTCTCAGCCCAGAACTATTATTTCAAACTAAACTTGTATTTCACATTTTTAATTAGTGAAGAGGCTCAATGAAATACAATTTTCAAATAGTCATCCAAGTGTATAAAGCTTTTGTGGAATATCAATTTAATTTCTAACCACTTTTAGTCTCTTTTATCTTGAAAATCTTTTACCTGGATAACTAGTTGATTCAGTTTTGTAGTTTTTTCCTCTTAAGCAAAGAGGTATTAAATAATATGGAAAATCTCTATAAATTAGATCTCAGTGAAATTAAACTTTTCCAAACAAATGGTTTTTCAGATTCTGTGTTAATGCCCCAAAGAAAACTAGAAATCCAACAACTGGCCATACAAAGCCTTGGCACATATGTTCTAAAGAAGCCATTTTGATCTTAAACCATGAAACATTTTAACTGGAATTTTAATCACATTGCCCTTTTATTTCTGAAGCACTGTCTTCATTTTTGTCAAAGGCAAAGATCTGAGAAAACAACTCGTAAATGCTTTTTGTTGTTGTTGAGACAGTCTCACTCTGTCGCCCAGGCTGGAGTGCGGTGGCGTGATCTCAGCTCACTGCAACCTCTGCCTCCCGAGTTCAAGCAATTCTGCCTCAGCCTCCCAAGTAGCTGGGATTTCATGTATGCACAACCATGCCCAGCTAGTTTTTGTATTTTTAGTAGAGACAAGGTTTCTCCATGTTGGCGAGGCTGGTCTCAAAATTTTGACCTCAAGTGATCCACCTGCATCAGCCTCCCAAAGTGCTGGGATTACAGGCATGAGCCATTGCAGCTGGCCTCATAAATGCTTTTAACTGAAATTCTTTGATAAGGAACAAAAAGACTATGGTAAATCTCAAGAGACAGAGTTGGCCTTGGCAGTGAGGGCCAGAAAGGGTGTACATTGGAGACACAGTTGCTTGTGGTGTGATTTCCCAAAATCTGGAGGTGCACATTCCTGTTGACTCAACAATCTGTTTCTCTGGACTTGGTAGCCCTGTGTTTCCAGATCCCCAAGCACTATATAATGGGTTCACTAATTATAGTTCAGGTGACTATAAATTGTTAACCAAAGGAGAAGCTTTTGATACTGAATGGAGGAGCTATTAATGATTAGGCCTGTCGCACAGTGTAAACCAGGACAAATGGTCAGCCTGTGCATAGTGGAAGGCCCTGTCCAAGTAAGCAGAACTCTGACTTGAGTTTTGGTTGTTGAACCTTAAGCCAAAAATAAAATCTTAAGCCCCCTTCCCCAACTATTGGGTCCTTTCTCTCAGCCAAGGGCGTTCCAAAGTTAACCTGAAAAACTAGTTCATGATGGGAAGGAGGGGTCAGACATACCTGATTATACCCTCTTCCTCTACAATATATGCTCCCTGAAGACTGTTACCTGGAGGCTGTATGATAAAACTTTAGTTGCCATAGCCTCTAACCATCATAACCCATACATTCCTTTGTATTGATTCCAGCTCTTTAGATAATAACTCATTCAACCAATTGCCAATCAGAAGATTTTTAAATCTACCTATAACCCAGAAGCCTCTGCTTCAAGTTGTCTCACCTTTCCAGATTAAACCAATGTACATCTTGCAGGTATTGATAGATGTATTATGTCTTCCTAAAAAGTGTCAAAGCAAGCCACGCCAGACCACTTCGGGCACATGTCATCAGGACCTCCTGAGGCTATGTCATGGGCCTGTCCTTAACTTTGCCAAAATAAACTTTCTCAGATATATTTGGTTTCACATACCCTAATCCCCACAAAACTAATTCCTTTAATTTATCCCTCAGGTATAGTTTCTAAAAGATGGAATCAAGTTGTGGTCTATCCTAATATAGTCAGCTCTTCTGTAACACTCAAACACCATGCAAAAAAGCACAAGTTTGTCTCAATGCAGTTGACATATCAGGGAACAATTTGAGCATAATTCAAAATTTGTTTTTGTTTATGTGTGATTCTGTGAGTGAGGAACACTAGGTGAATGCAACAAACTGTGCCCAGCTGATCCAAACTAAACAGTAGCACAAATATACATCTCAGATGTCTACTGTAGACAAATAGGCATAAACGGTGCAGGAGAGGGATTCCTTGCCACCCACCAGGAATGTCAGGTGACCATCAGATGATAGTACAGCAGCTTTCACACTGCCTCTCTAAAAATGATAATTTGCAACCAGGCCAAAGAGAGGCAATTTCCTGATGGTCCACAGTTGTCACACTAACATGCAGGCACCAGGGAGATGCAATTTCTCAAACATTAAAAACACTTGAAATTGGTAATCAACTTCCATTAAAACCTCAGGAATTGGGTGAATGAGCTTGAACATACGCATTTAGAGACAAAATGGTGGAGTATGAATCTCAGGAGCATTCTACTAGAAGAGGGACGAAAGCCTCAGATGGGTGTGCATACAACTTCCTAAACACACTGTGCATGCTCACCTCCCAAGCACAAGGAGGGCACTGCCTGCGAGCAGCCCACCCTAAGGGAAGAAATATGGGAAAAGGGACACAAGACCCGGGAAATAT